CCCCTTTTTTTAAAAAAAAAAAAAAAAAAAAAAAAAAAGGTCCAGTATGTGGAAGTGAAACCTTTAAGATGTACCCGCTATGCAGCATTTCTAAAACCCAATCAATGAACAACTAAGTTCACTTCAGGGAAGCTGCAGAGGGAGTGACTGAGTGATCTGTATTTGTTTTACCTGCAAATATAGTGACAAGCATGCCTGGGAAAGGAACATAGAAAAGAAAAAAATAGGACTTTTATTTTTTTGTCTTTAAAGTAGGTGGCTGTAGGGCAGTACAGATGAAAGCAGGATGTCATCACAGGAAGGAGTAGGTGGAGGCAGACGGCAGGAGGACACATCCAAGCTGGGGCTGGACAAAAACTCCCCGCAAGGAAGTCTGTTCCTTGTCTACTTTTTTGTTTTGCTCCCATTAAATGAGTGGTGGCACACACACACACAAAAAAACCCCAGAAAGCAAGAAGAAACAAACAGAATCCGCTCCTTCAGTCTGATGCAGGTTCCAGAGAAAGAAAACAAGCTCTACTTAAAGGGTCGGGTTAGGTTCCAACTAGCATTGTAACCTGTAAGGAAAACTCTGTATGTTAAATGTGACCTGCGAAGGAATTTAGTAAAACCTTAGCAGCTTTAGAAGCATGTGTTGGATGTTCCAGTAGTTAGGCTGAGAGGCACATTAGCCACTTCGAGCTCATATTTTCCCCTCTGTTCAGGATCCCATCTGCCAGACTCTCCAGGGAATCAGTAGGCTGCAGACAGAACATAACCCCAGCATATGCTACACTGGCAAGTCCATCTTGCCTTAGCAGTGCAATACCCGCAAGAGTCAGCCTGTAGATAATACATTTTCTGTAAATATCTATAGAAGTGAGGCGTTTTGAACAATTAGCTAAAAATCAAATGGTATAAGGGTTTAAAACATCTTTGTGGGAAAAAACCCAAACAAACCAAACACCTAATGAAGTACATTAGCTCCTATGCGCAGACACTGAGCTATAAGAAAGTACCCCAGATGCTGCAGCATTTCCAGCCTCCACTACAGACTGAAGAGTGGAAGCAGATTTCAAGGTGCACTGTTTGACTCAGCCTTGGTGGACAGAGATAGTGGGCAATAACTGTGCCCACTACAAGGTGCCTTGTACTGCTTCTTCTGCAGCAAGTCTGATGCAAGACTGGAGTGCTCCCAGCCTCATATTCCCTATAGATCATAGCTATGGACCACAGTCACTGGCACAATGCACCATGAACTATAGAATAGAGGTGCTCTGTTTCCCATCACTTTCTCATCCTTTGTGCCAATGGTCACACCCAGGAGCCAGGTTTGTACCAGCAGGCTCCCTCAGGCCAGTGTAACCTCAGCATGGGACTTGCCTGTGTTCCTCATATTTGACTGCCTAGATAGAATATGCAGAACTGGTGTAAACCAGGTTGTAACCCCAGCTCCATCTTGGCACCTTGTTTTTTGTTGTCGTTGTTGATATTCATCTATCAGACTAAGGTTTTCATCTGTGTTATTTGCCTGGGGTTTTTGGAGTTCTACTGCAATACTGTGCAGTGGGATAGGAAAATGCATAAATATTGACTAAGCCTCTTGATTGCCGGTCTAAGTGGTCCTGTTAAATCCACAAAAGCTGATACACTTTGAACACCAAGATTCTGCCAAATCTGCACAAGCCCACCAGCACGCATGACCATCAACAACCGGCTGTATAGCATGAACCACATCCAAGGCGACAGTGGCTGCTATATGCAGACAAAGATTACAGGACTATACGCTCATGTGATGAAACAAAGGAGGCCTTCAGGGACAAAGCCACAGGTGCATCACTACAGCCCTCTGCTTCTGAGTAAACAGCTGGGTTTGGCCTCCTAATTGTTGTTCCAATTATGAATGCGCACGCATGTGTGCGAGTGAACTGTGTGAGAAGTGAATGTACTGTGTGAAAAGATTCTATTAATAATAGCAAACAACAAAATGTTACAGTTAATAACCACTTGATCAATAAAAGGTGTTCTAATAAATATCAGTTGTGATGTTGTCTCCCCTGACCTGATTCCCCCTCAGAAAAAAGGGAGTTTGCAGCACACACTTAAACACTTAACTTCCCACCAGAAGTTTGTTTTTCATTCAGGATTTTTTTTTTTTTTCTAAATTTGGTAACAGCAATTTTAGTTTAACAGTAATGAAAAAATCCAACCAAGCCTAAGCTTATGTCTCACAAACCATTTATTGTTTACTTAACAGCAGTGAGAATTCTGCTCAGTAAATTAACACAAGTGTGAACAGAACATACAGGATAAAACATGCTTACAGAAACTAGTAACTGAAAGTACGGAGAACACCTACCCAGTATAGTTAAGTTTTGTTTGCTATAAATATATATGCTTATAATATGCTTTTGTAAACATAAAGAGAAAGGATATGCAAAGACCATTTAAAGAATCTCCAGCTTCAGTTTTAAAAAGCATGTAATGTACAGTTTAGTAATAGTGAAAATATCCAGGCAAAAATAATTAAGTTTTTTTTATTTTAAGTTGTACGACATGTTTTCTCCAGGAGGAAAACTTATATGGTTCAGGGGACCTGTTTGAAAAAGGCTTGGTAAGCTGGGAAACGGGAAACCTGGAAGAGCTTAGGCATGCCTTTTACTGTCAAATTTTCTTTTTCCCCCTTTACCACCCTCTTAAGCTTTTTGATGATGTAAAGCAACTTTGGTACAGTATACAAGCAGGAAAAATATTAGTTCTATCTACCTGCCAGTCTTCCAGTTAATTAAAAATGGTGGCACACAGAACCTAGAAAATCAACTGGTACAACCTAGCAAACCTAGACTGAGAACCACTACCACAGCATTGTCTTGGGACTTCACAGCATTATTTTTAAGTTCGTTTTTTTCCTTTGTCATTCTTTTCCCTCTTACTGCTGTTACTCACCTCCCCTCTACCCAGTTACCCCACCATGAAACCAATCAGATGGATTATACAAATTATAAATTAATTCCTGACTAAAAATCAGTTACATATGGTGACAAGCTAACATTTGTTTAACAGAAAATACGCTGTCACTTCAGCTTTTATTCACTAAATATCAACTACATAGACAATGTTCTCTTTAAGACATACCTGCAGTATGAGCGACTCTTTATCACCTTCTAATCGTGCCAATCTTTCTTGATAGGTTTCATTATTAGATGAATGATGATTCACCTGTGACTGGGGGAAAAGTTACAGTTAATAATAAAATTTCAAGCAATAGTTAATAAAAATTGATATAAATTGAGTGGTTGTTATAATGCAAAAAACCATGCAAAAATGTATCTACAGATAAAACTGTTTATTTCATATGCATTAACCCTTTCGTATGTACCTTTTTTTAGCTTGATTTTGAATACTTTCTCATTTCCAGCAACCAAGAATGGTATAGGAATAGATTTGGTATTTTCTAGCAAATTACTGTTTCATTGGGAAATGCCATCTTATCAAGACAAAAAACATTTAATTTGAAATATCTGGTCTCAACAGTCTTTAGCCAAAGTCAAGGAATCTTGGTGTTTATTTTAAAATGGTAAAAATTGTCATATGTATTATACTATTCCTAGAAATTACTGAAAGAAAAGTATAATTTTTTTGTTAGCAATTAACAAATTATTTAAATTATCAAATTCTTATCAGGAACTACTCTAGCTACGTAATCACTTATGGATTTCTAAATGGCTCTAAGGAGCAAGACCTTCTAAAATATGGCCTGTTTCTAACTATTATGTCCCATTTCCTGTGAATTTTAATACTCCAGAGACAAACACCACAACTAAAAAAAAAAAAATCTGCATATTTATTTTAAAAAGTTTAGAAGAGTCCCATAGCTTCATCCTGCATACTAAAACATTGTGTAACTGGGAATGGAGCTGTTTGCTTAAAGCATCGAAAGTAACATGAGCCCTCAGCAGTTCGTTTCCCAGCTCCGCTGCAGGCAATGCATTTCTGCTGGGGAATAAAACACTTTGGCTGGCTTTTCAGCTAACACAAGAATCCAGCTTCACTGAGTTCTCTTCAACTACACTAGTCTGCAGCTGACTACTCATTTATAGGTGCTTGTACAATGGCACCAATATAATTATAATCCTCCCCCCAACTGTCTTTTTCAACTGAACATTTGTGAATAGTTTTTTTTTTTTTTAAATATTAAATATATTCATGGCTTCTTGATCTCCACTGAGGTCTGCAGGCCCAAATGTAAAACAGATGAAGAAAATAAACATGGTGCTCATTAATGCAAATCAAGAAATCAAATATTTATCCAACCAAAAGCTAAAAGACACTTTTCAAGGCATAAAGTGCTGAACTAGATGTAAGTGTGGCATCTTTATGAGCTGAGCTGTGAGGAACTGAGCACCCTTGTCTCTGATATTTTTGAAAGGAATTGAGAGAATCACAAAGACAGACTAACAAACAGGACTAAAAGGTGCCTGAAGAGATCATCTGTTTCATTATTCCATCCGAGGACAGATGATTATTTGCACTATTCTTGTCTTGCCTACTCCTAAAGGCCTCCAGAAATGCATTACACAGCCTCCCCATATAATCTACTTCTTAGCTACCCATCATTAGAGTGTTTTTCTTAATGTCTAACCTGAATCATCTCTTCAACTTCAACCTACTGCTTCTTATCATACCACCATGGATTAAAAAAAAGGTCCTTCGCTTCAGGAATTTTTTATGTATTTGAAGACTATCTGTAGTCTCTAATTAGCAGGTCCCTCTTTGGGCTAAACAAACATAAGTTTTTCTGTCTTCTCCTCACACGTTAATTTTTCGAGATCTGTTTTGTTGCCTTCTTTTGGTTCCTCTTCACCAGTTCCTTGATTCCTTTTGAAATTATGTGCCTAAGGGTAGACACAGGACTCTAGCTAAAAATGGCTAGAGTGGAAAAAAACCTTTTCAAACTCTTTGGCCATATTTCTTTTCACGTCAGCCATATAGTAACGCTGATATATTTTCAGCCTCGGACCCATGACTTCCAGAGCCTTTCTTAATGCTCTTATTTAGCTAGCATCCTGTTCTTCATCCTGTGTTTACTCATTGTTTCTGCTTAAATGTATAACCTTGCACCAGTCTACACTGAATTGCATCCTATTATTTATACTGTTTTCCTATGTATCAGGCTCTTCCTATGTTTTAATCCTGTCCTTTAGCATGGCTGCAAGGCCCTGCTTAACTAGAATCACCTATAAATTCACTACGCTTGGTCCTTATTCCCTGTTTCAGAGGGTCAACAAGAACACTGAAGAACAGAATGTGCAGAACCTCACTCCACACCTTACCAGCATCGATCAAAAGAAGAATATCTTAACTCGACTCAGAATATACTTTTCTCACTAGCTTTTTACCAGTTTATAGTAGGTCCAACTAAGATTCAAGACCTCTAAGAAATGGCTTTAAATATGCACATCTGAGTGCATAACTTATACACGAACAGGAGTCTCAGGAAAATTAATAAGTTTTACAGTGGCACCTGTAGGTGTACCTACACAGTGGCACTGTGTAAGTACATAATGCCCTTAAAGATATGGTGACTTTACTCGTTTTCCTCTCCTAACTAGTTTTAATTTTTTTAGAATTTCTGTGTCCTAACATTTCTTTCCATCTTTCCTAACATCTCAATGTAATTTTTTCAAGCCTTCTCCTTTTATTAAAAAAATACCACACCCCCACATACCCCAAAACCGCCCACTGTGTTTATAAAACATGCATCTTCAGGTTAACTTAGGCCCTTTGTATTAGAAGTTGGTCAGTCAGTCAGTCAGTCCATATGGTCTTGGTGTTCATTCCTTATTAACTTTTGTAGTACTATAATGAAAATACGGAATCCTCATAAGTAGCCAACATTCATTTCTGTACGTCTGCCTAGATAATCCTTTGACCTCAGCTATGCATCCTCAATCATACTGCCAGCCATTCTGCCTGGGTTGTTACTCCACTTGCAGAGCCAAGTCTTATATTGCACTTTAGAATCCAAAATCTTTAGCCTTAGCGGCTACGTTTCCATTAACGTTAAAACTCCATTACATACCATTAAATGAGTTTTCTCAATGGAGAGCCCACAGGCCTTCCCCAGTATGTCTCTGGCTCACACACAATGGTAGGGGAGACTTTCCTGCACCTAGAACATCAAGTATTCAGGGAAGAACAGCACACTGCTAGGCAGGAAAAGATTCTCCTAATGACAAAACCTAGTGATGAAGACCGTCTAATCAGGTAGATTTTGCACCCTTTCTCCTGCCGTCATTTGCTATTTTCCTATGCTAGATTTAAGAAATAGACCTGCAACCACTTGTGTAACCGCCCCCCCCCAGCCTTACAGGCACAGTGAGTTAAATTACTGCCAACACATTTTTACATAACCAATCTGTCATGAATGCAAAACAGAGTTCAACATTTAATATAATCAGTAATTAAGAATTAGTTCAACATCAAATCACAAATAAGATATTTTACTACACTCACATTTACCAAACGTATAGCCTCCGATGACGTCTGCTGCACTGAGTTACTGTGAAATATCCTCTGCTGGAAGTCCAATACTCAATACCCATGTAAAACCTAGTGAATCACACCCATGTGAACAGAAAAGGGGGAAGGGGTGGGGGGGAATCAACCCTGCCAATAGGTCAGCCAGAGAGTGCTCAGATAAGTACAGGAAAGTGCAGTTGACAGAAAATTACCTGCTAAATAAAAGTGGCTGATTGACACACAGCAGTTGTTTAAGACTTGGCAAATCTTTGTGGCATGTATAAAGACAAGATAAAACAATGTAATATGAACCAAGGCCATCTGTGCATGGTTGGAGTGCATTCTGCAGTTGTGCAGCAACATATCAGCAGCAACTGAATACAGGACCTATAATACTAAAGTCATAAGACTACAAACCACTCGAGTTTGTGTAAGAGCTCACAAACAATAAACACTAGACTTGTGTAACCACATGACCAAAAGGCTGAATCACCAAGATTTTCCACAAAGATATTATTTCAGAAGATGTAGCCTTAAAAACCAAAAATCATTACCTGGGCTCCACAAATTATAAGCTAAATAAGTTAAATTCTATTTCTTGTAATGAAAGAATGAGAGAAATTGCATGGAACATGTAAAAAAGTTTATGATAACATGTGATAACAAAGTAGAAGGAAAGATATGCTAAGACAAGGTGGTTGAAACTACCTTGATGGTACTACCACTGCAGATGAAAAGTCAAGTGTATACCATAAATACTTTGCCTAAGGGAGCTACAAAGTGATGTCTTGAAGCACTTGTCTCCATAGAGATTTTGGGTTTTGTTTAATGCCCATCATCAGATATTAACATAAAATGTTTCCTCAAACAATTCCAAATCAACTGTTTCTCACGGTTCTAGGGGGAAGGGGAAAAAGGGGAAAAAGGGGAAAAAGGGGAAAAAGGGGAAAAAGGGGAAAAAGGGGAAAAAGGGGAAAAAGGGGAAAAAGGGGAAAAAGGGGAAAAAGGGGAAAAAGGGGAAAAAGGGGAAAAAGGGGAAAAAGGGGAAAAAGGGGAAAAAGGGGAAAAAGGGGAAAAAGGGGAAAAAGGGGAAAAAGGGGAAAAAGGGGAAAAAGGGGAAAAAGGGGAAAAAGGGGAAAAAGGGGAAAAAGGGGAAAAAGGGGAAAAAGGGGAAAAAGGGGAAAAAGGGGAAAAAGGGGAAAAAGGGGAAAAAGGGGAAAAAGGGGAAAAAGGGGAAAAAGGGGAAAAAGGGGAAAAAAGCTGATGGAAACTTGACTGCCTAAGTATCACTTACATGATCAAGTAATTAGAGTCCTTTTCCAAGAAAAACACTTAAATATTCCTCCAGAATATATGACACACACACACACAAAAAAAATCAGACTTCAGAGTATGATTCAACAGCTTTAATTTAAAATGGGGATAATCAGCAAAAATATAAAAGGGTATGGCAAGAAAGGGAAGAAATGTTTGATTGACTCAGCTATCTTAATTTTCAACAGCCTTCTCAGAGACTGGTAAGCATGGACTGTTATGTTTTCTTGCATGTTATTTTAATAGGAAACAATTCAGAATGCAGCTTATTGTCAGAACAGAATGACAACCATTGTATAGCACTTCTGTACAGATGTTCTGTTCAGAAGTTTCTGTAACAGAACTTCTAGCTGAATCTTGATAGGCTGTAAAAGTAAGCCCCTTAAAGC